AATCAAACACACTATTTAATATTCATACTAATAAAGTATTTATAAAGTAACATACCTGTTGGTTTTATACGTGAAATTTATGCCGACATACCAGTGATATGTCCGGAATATATTGATCGACGCAGGATGGGCCATGAATATATGCGTCAACGATTTCTTGTTCGGATCGGATTCTGCATAAACTGTATACTCGCTGCTCACGGCCAAATGCATAAGCTGGGAAGGAACGTCTCTACTGTCGAAACTCTCTTTCCGCAGCTTATCTCTAAAGTTATATACCTGTCACTAACTAGCGTTAATTATAATGATTATTATAATTTAAAATAAAAAAATATTATATTAATAAATAAAAAAGTAAATTAATGCGATTAAATTGATAAAAAAAAATTATTAACTATCACAATAATAATACATTAGTAAATATAATAAAATTTATTAATTATTACAATAACTTTTACATATAAAAAATTGCAAGATATAAATATATATACCTGTCGCACATGAACGTTGTCTCCCAGATTCTTTTCCTTCAGCGCGGCCATAATTTTTGTCGGGGCCACCTGAGCGTCCGTCATATCACGAACAATTTTCTTAGATGAAGCGCTGAGGCCGCTCAACTGGCGATGACCCTCAGGATACACAGCAAATGTATGGTTATGGTAGCCCTTCTCATCATTGCTACATCTACAGATCCTCCAATATGGAGCGCCGGACACCTTTTTTACTTTGATCTCAAAATTGCAGCCGCACTTATTCGTTTTTGTCTTTCTGGAATTTCCGTCTGTGCATTTGTAGCGTTCGCCTCTATGACACTTCAAAAGTCTGACCGTTTTCTTTTTGTGGCTCGAAATTACTAATAGGAAACCATTCAGCATTGCCTGGTGTTTTGCAGCTTCAATAGCGTCCTGAGCACTATTAAATAATGTACAGGTATCGAAACTCAGACTGTAATCAACACCATCTCCTCCAAAATCTTCCCATGACTCCTACTATATAGTACAATATTTATATTTTTAGAACATGTTAAATTAAGATGATTAATTCTAACATGTAACATAATAATTTGTAACTCATAACATGATATTATCTAACGTCCAATTTATAGTATAATGAAGTCTAATATGTAACACAATAATTTGTAACTCCTAACACGATCACGATAATATTTAACGTCCAATTTATAATATAATCAACTATAACATGTAACATAATAATTTGTAGCTCCTAACACGATACTATCTAACGTCAATTTATAACATAACCAAGACTAACATGTAATATAATAATTTTTAACTCGTAACACGATAATATCTAACGTCCAATTTATACCATAATCAACATGTAACATAATAATTTGTAACTCCTAACACGATAATATTTAACGTCCAATTTGTAGCATAATCAAGTCTAAAATGTAACATAATAATTTATAACAAAGTAATATAGTCCAATTTATAAGATAATTATTTCGAATATATAACATAATAATTTAAAAAAGAAAAAAAATAAAAAATTATCAGGTCGGCCGAACCGGACGGACTTGTTCCAACCGGCCGTCGTCGCCGGACAGCTTTTAAAGCGTCTGGCCGGCCGGTTCGGACATAGCCCGTCCGACCGGCCGAACTTTTCTGACGGCCCGTCCGAAAAGGCCGGCCGGACGACTTAAAATCCGTCCGGTTTCGGCGGTCGGACGGGCTAAAAGTCGTCCGATTCCGGCGGCCGGACACAAAAATTTTCGTACCCCCGAATTTGACGACATTTCACCGTACACTTTTCTCTGAGATGTTTAGAAAAAATGAGAAGGGCAAAATCGTCCAAGAAGGCGGTGAATAGTAAAATGAGGAGCGATAAATAGTATCACCCATTCTTTACTATATGTATAGTAGTGCTTCATCTAGCTTTATAATTTATACCACTAGTATTTAAATTTCATAAATTAAAATATAGCAATAACTATTGTAGAGAAACTAAAAAATATTTTGAATTTATTATTATTTATTTAACAATTTTATTCGATTTATGTTTGTATTAATCAAACTCTTTTTTAAACTAATTAAATGTAATATGAACATTTTAAATAGGAAATTGTGGATTATTTTTTGGTACAAAAGAGAGCAATATGAAAACATATTGATGCATTTTTGGGCCAACGAAACCGCCAACATATACCTTACATTTTTCAGAAGTATTACAAAATTTTACCTCTATCGAACTTTGAAAACCCTTTCAATTTTCATGTTAAAGTTTCATCCAACATATTTTGCACGCAATTGAAATCTCTTATAACTTGTTTAGCTGTCTCTAGTTTCAACTTTCAATGTGCTTTTATCATAAATTTAATTTTTTTTGTTTGTGGATATAACCACTCTTTTTGTTTGTCTCTAGTTTCAATGATTTATAGGCAGAACTTAATAAGAAGTTGTCATTCACTGAAACTCCACACAAGTCTGTCCCTCTCTTCAGCCTGACCAATGAGATCTGGAGAATTAAATTAGAGTCCCTAGGGTGGAAAGTTTGGAACACTAACTCTCTATCCCAACCAGTCCCATCTCCATTCATGAATTGATTTACCCAAGTCAACCTCCCCCTATCACTACCGAATGAAGAGGCTTAATAGTAGGAGCCTTTGGAATACAATGAGTGTCCCAAATGTTTATGGATCTACCATCTCCTACTTGGTATCTCATTCCTAATTTAAGACTCTCTGGCTCCCAACCAAGACTTCCAGAGCCAAGAATCAGAATTTCTAAGAGAGACATCAAAGATTTTATTATGGCTAGGAATGTACCTCCCTTTCATGACCCTGGTCACAAGTAAGTTTGGATTTGTAAGGATCCTCCACAACTGCTTGACTAGCAAAGCATCATTGAACACAACAAAATTTTTGAAACCCATACCCCCCTTCAATCTTTAGCCTAGCCAATCTACTCCAAGCTCCCCAATGAATTCTATTTTTTTCCTTCATCATTCTTCCCCCACCAAAAGGCTGTTGCTTTCCAGCACAAGTCCTCACAAATACTCACAGGTAGCTTAAAACAAGACATAACACAAGTGGGAGGAGAGCTCAAAACAGCTTTGATAAGAACCTCTCTCCCAGCATCACTGAGAAAACAAATCTTCCAATTAGAAATCTTAGCCAAAACACTATCACTCACAAAACTAAAAGTATCTTTTTTTTTTCTACCAGTCCCCAAGGGGAGCCCCAAATATTTAGTAAAAGAGACTATAATAATTCCATAAAAAATTTTGCAAACTTCTGCTTTTGTTAAAGTCAGGGTATTCCTAAGGACGAAAACAGAAGATTTAGCCATATTAACACACTGACCGGATGATAACATGAGAGATATATGCCTTACAAAAAATAATAGAATCATCTGCAAAAAAATAAGTGAGTTATCACTGGGGCATTTTTGCTTAATTTAAGACCTTTGAACAAAAGAGAGTTACAAGCCTGTATGATAAGTTAGAAAGGGTCTCAGAAATTAAAATGAATAAATAAGGAGAGAAAGGATCGCCCTATCTGATCCCTCTTGAAGGAGTAAGAAAGACTAGGGGTTGACTATTAAGGTTGAAATAAAAAGAAGAAGAATTCAGGCAGACCAAAATCCAAGAAATGAAAGTGCTACAGAACCCCATTTTTTGCAAACCATGGCTAAGAAAGACCACTCAACTTTATCATAGGCTTTAGTCATATCAAGTTTGAGGATCATACAAGCATTCTTGCCATTTCTTTTACTATTGAGGTAATGGATACATTCATTTGCAATCACAACATTATCTAAAATTTGTCTGCCAAGAACAAAAGCAATTTGGTTATGAGAAATGAGGGCATTCAAAACAAGTTTAATCCTATTAGCTAATATTTTTTAGATTACTTTATATGTAACAGTGCATAGGCTGATAAGTCTGAAGTCAGAAATCAAATGAGGGTTTTGAATTTTGGGGATTAAAGTAATAGTATTATGATTGGTAGTTTTAGGCAACCTGCCTGAAATGAAAAAAAAAAAATTAATGGCCAAGCAGAATTCATGTTTAATCACACTCCAAAAAGATTTAAAAAAATAAGGAGTCATACCATCAATTCCCGGAACCTTGTGTGGGTGCATTTCCATCAAGGCCCTTTTTCTTCCACATGGAGGGTAAGATCTTTATTCATTTCATCTATGATGGTGCATTGGATTCCTTCTAAATTACAGCTGTTGAGATCTTCACAACCGCGTTTCTAATATCGTCGATCTTATAAAAATCTAAGAGAACTTGCAGTGAATCTTTTCAATCTTCCTTAAATCTTCTCTAAAACGTCCAAGTTCCTTTATACATGGGCACCTCGTCCTTTTATTAGTCTTTGGCACATATTCATTGTCTTCCAAGAGAGATAAATAATTATAGTAAGCAATCCAACTCATTAATGCAAACAACACATATAATGAGTGAATGTATATATAAGGTATATATATCATGTAATTTTTCTCCTGAAGTTAGAACTTCATAACACATACATATTATCATTAATAAATACTAAGAACTTAATTAATTTATAAGTAAATAAATAAATAAAATTCCTTTAATTATGTTGTTTGTCTAACAAGAATATCATAAAAAACACTTATTCAATTGGGATTTATAAGAACTTTTTATGATTTTAAAAATCCTAGTGTATTCAATTTAGATTTGTTAAGACTTTTAAAAGTCTTGAAATATTCAATTGAGATTTTAAAAAATCTTACAAAATCTTGAAGTATTTTACTTACTTGAGACTATAATTTGTCAAAACTTTTTAAGATTTAACGGAATTTCTAAACATAATACTTTATAGAAAATCTCACTTCAAATTCCACCTCCAAACTTAAGATTTCACATAATTCTTTTGATTCTAAAAATCTTAAAAAGTTTCAAATTTTATAAAATCTCGACTCAATACACCCACTTAAGACTGTTATTTACATCGTTGTATTTTCAAAATGTGATAAATCGGATAATAAATCACGTGAAATTAGATATACCCAAGCTTTGGCACACAAACATTATTGACCAACTCCACAAATTACTTTACAAAACGTTATTTTTACACTGATCGCCAACATCCTTGTCCATCATTTTGCTTACAGACTCCAATACAGTTCTTAAAAAAAATGAACAAAAAAGGTAGTAGTAGTAGTAGTAGAACAAGAAATATAACAACACAAATTCGACGAGCCTAGACACTTTACATCCTCTCTGTGTAAGCCAACACAGAGAAACAAACCAAGAACTCCAAGCAATATAGCAAATACATAGAACAATAATCTATATACTATTATTTTCTGCAGACAATATACAAAAAGGGAATCACAATTTCATCCGTCTGTTTTAAACACACTCAAAATAAGTGAGCTAGCTCCAGGGAGGAGATGATGGTTTGTACACAAAATCTTGATGATTGATTGATCCATAGTTCAAATCCAAGTTCTGAAGTTGCTCCATTAACTGAGACCTTCTTTCCTTGAAAAAATCGAGACGTGTTGTCAACTCCACTAGAGTCGAGGATGCTGCTGATGGATGACGAGGATAATCCATCACCTGGGATAAATCAGCACGTTGAGTATTGAAACAAACAAAAAAAAAACAAAAAAAAAAATCATATTTCACTAGTTGCACACAAACTTTTGACATGCTTTTCTAATCAAGTGAGTAGAACTAGAGATGACTCAGAAAACTACACATAAAATTTGACTTAAAATCATCCACCCTAGGTAAATCTCATTTTCATAACAAATATTCATCCTATTGAGCTTGCAATTGGTGACATAGAACAAGCACAAAAACCCAAGTATAGCCTTGGACTTATGGGTAGTAAAAAAAAACTGTCAAAAATAACATTTAAAAGCTCACCTCAGCTGCTCTAGAAGTAGAAGGCAAATATGCAGAGTCAACAGCACCGAGATCGTCCGCAGATAAACCTGTGGATGCTTCAGTACTTTTGGAATTACTTATGCTAGGCGACTCCACTAAGCTCTTCCTGGAAGAAAGCTTGCTATTGGTGCCAGCTGTCGATATTTGTCCCTTAACATTTCTCGAGTCCGAACCCAATAACTCCTGCAAAACCATTAGACAACCATGTTACAAGGGAGTGTCAATTACATGTAATATTGCATTTTGAAAAACAATAGGGGGGTGGTTTACCTCTGTCCTTTGTTTCCTTTCGTTGTTACAGACAGCGAGAGTCGTATCAAAATCTTGCTGGAAATATTTTCTGCATGCAGGAAAAAGTAAGCTGCTTATATTATATATCAGAAACAAACTGATGGATTTCACATTATCAAGTTCAAGCCTTCTAGAAAGGAATTTTAAATCACAAAAAGTACACTAAAAGGTTAGGGATTTAAATTGAGTTAATACAACAAGTACCCAGATGTTGCACTTTTTCACATTCTAAGATCCGCCAAAGGCTTTCACCTTTGTTCTGACAGATAAATCGATCTACGATTGGATACAAATTTTTTTCTCAAAAAATTCGTTATTCATCTACTCCTATTTTTTTCTCCTCAATTTTATCAACACAATAATAAAAATCAGTCATTACTATACATTTTCCAACAAAGTTTTATATTCATTAAGTCACATATTTCTATCTACCAACCATTTACATTCATTATTTTATCAAATATATTAAACTTTTCCACCCAAATAATTTTTTCCATTCTTTAACTCATTTTTTAAATTCAAACAATTGCTTCCAAAGTAATCTATATCCAATCACACTTTCAATTAACAAATTCGATTTCCAGTTGGAAACTCACTTCTGACAATTTTAACTTCTTACTTGCATTTTTTTTTACATTATCTGTTGCAAATGCTTACTTTGACTGACATTGTTTTAATGAAAATAGCGCTGGACTTTTTCACTAATTTTGCAATTAATTTATCAAACTTTCACTCTTATTTCTAATAAAATTTTATTACTTTCAAAAATCATAAAAAACTAATTTGAAAAGCTTTCAGACTGAGTATTTGTTTTGTAATACCCCTCAATCCGAAAACACACTGAAGGTACTTGAGAACTCACTGCTGCAGATTTTGGTTCGGAATATGTTGATATCGTTCACGTGCATCAGGAAGCGAGCCATAGTGATGCTGACGTTGCTGGTTAAGCTGATGGTGAAGCTCGGCAACTTTCTGTTTCAGTCTCGCAACATCAGCTTCGGCAAGAGCTATCTCCTCGAGCTCAGCCCTCGTCTTTGTATTGAAAAAAAAACACTTATGAAATGTTTAATAATTCCAAATTGTTAGGAAAAAATTAATAGATACAATAGAGACCTTGGAATCCATGCCATGAGAACTGGGAAATTGCGCAGAAGAAATGCTTAGGCCAACTTCCAGAGCAGCACGAAGCTCTCTCTCAGCTTGCAATTGTTCTTGCAGTCTTGCTACCTATTGAAGATAGAAAACAATATGAAAGTCCGTCAGAAAATACCAGAGATTTATGTGCATGAAAGGGATTGAGGACATAGTTTTAAGGATAAAGGAACACACTTAGGATTTGGGGAAGTAAAAAAGATGCATTTTAAGCATACAGAAACAATACTTACATCTTGTTCAAGTGCCAATCGCCTTTCATGCAAAGCTTGCTTCCTTCTCTCCAAGCTAGCTTGCAAAATTGCATTTCCTCTTGCCTAAATTACCAAAAATAAATAAATAAATAAAATAAAATGGCTAAAAACATCACGAAAGACAACACAATAACATTATATAGCATGACCAAAGTTGACACGTCAAAATAATTACTTACCTCTTTTGCAATTCTTTGGCGCAAATCATTTTTAGCTACCTCCAGTCTCTGGATGGCAAGCCTACAAATGAAAATAATTCGATGTGAACATATTGAGGAACTGTGTTTCTTTATAAAATAAAATATGAACTGTGTTTCTTTATAAAATAAAATAAAAAAGGGAAGAGGTGAAAGGAAAAAAAGGAGCTCCATTCATGTGTAATATTGTAAAATATGGAGCACAAAAAATTCACAAAATGTATAATAGACAAAGAAATGCATATATAAGGTAAGATGATCCTACTCTTCCTCGCCAGATGAGTCAATCGATTCTGTTGAAGGAGATTTCCTGGCCTGCAAGATCAGAAAAATAACTTTGACTGGTCCAATTTTATGATTTATGAATGTAATATAAAAACTACAAATAAAAGTCTGAAATTTAATCAATCACTCAAACATCAGATATCTAATCATGCAATCCATGTTCCATGATACCCTGATATGACAAATCGGTAATAAGTTAATACAGAAGTTAAAAAGTACCAGTTTCAATTTCTGCACAGGCTGTATATCATTGTATAACATATTTATGGACAAGTTGAAATTTATTAGAAGGATTACACCATGTCCAAGAAATTTGACTTCTGACATCACTAACAGTGAACATGCACACAGAGAAACCAAGGTTGGAGAGANTAACAGTGAACGTACATACAGAGAAACTGGGTTTGGGGGAAAAAGAAAAAAGAACTCACATTTTTCTTTCCCCAAAATGTCCCCTTTTTGGCACTACCATTACTCGTATTAGTGGATTTGGGTATTGCCTTCTCAGTCGGTAGGTTGGGTCCAGTGACTGGTTGATGGGGCTCTTGATTCATAGAGGACAAAATCTCTCCCATAGATCTCTGGGCCTCATTACGAAGTATATCTTCAGAAGCACTAGTCGAGTTTTTCTCACGTGCCCTTAGTTGGTGGTTAACTGGAATAACAGAATCACTAATAGTTCTAGGATCCAATACTGGGTTTGATTTTGTTTCTATAGAACGAGAACCGTCATCCGAATCATCATTTCCAATGGCCTGGTGTTTGAAAAAGCACATTAAACCAACTTTAGTAAGGACATAGATGCTCCAAGTACCCAACTGCAATAATGTTTAATTTTCTTATACTTTTCTCTATATTTCTAAAGTTCAACCCCGAAATTGTCTAATATTGCATTGGGAATGTCACAAGTTGTCAAGCAATGAGTATAGTATCAGATTATCATGAAATGTATTACAGAACTCTCTTACAGTGAAATTAAAATAACAAAATATGGAAGCAGAAATAATTAAAAGTTTATGCTTGCCATTTAGTAACTACAAATTATAATCTCATACCACTAAGCAATTACGAAAACATTAATACCAGCCCCTTATATGTACAACACCAGTATCAATAGCCTCGCAACTGGCAAATCAAAATATGTCAAAAAGTGTGGCTACTAAACACGCATACATAAAGTAGTACTGCAAAAAAAATAAAAAATAAAAAAATAAACAATAATAATAATAATAATAATAATAATAATAGTAATAGTAATCATAGTAATAATAAACACCAAATTATTAGTAAAAAAATTCACATATATTTCTCCATCGCATTAACCAAAAAAACAAAGGTCATTTGTTAGAATATTTTGTTGGAATCATTCTAATTTAATTCCAGTTGATGTTCTAGTAAGGCAAGCAAAACAATTTAAAGATAAGTTTTTTATTCATTCATTTTCATTTACTTGTATATAATTTAGTTCCTAGTATTTATTTTCTATCTATGTATGCTTAATTTATGATATGTGTTGAGCCAAGTGTCGGGCTCGCACGCTTCGGAATTCGATATGGTAAATTTTTAAGCTTTGTTGTTTCGCTAGAATGAATTTTAATTTATTTCCAATCCAAAAGTGATTAGGCTTGGAATATTAGATATTTATGGTCCTTTTTAATAGCATTAATTATGTTTTAGTAGACTTGGTTTATAAAGTATAATTTTTTTCGAATCTTTCTTTTTTTCTCATATTTCTTTTAAAATTATAACAAATTTACTAACTTAAATTATAAATATATTTAAAAGTTAATAATTTTTTATTTATTAACAATTTATTTATATATAATATATCAAATTAACCATGTCTTGATGATCTTCGATTTGACAGCTATATTATACATACAAAATAAATAATTTTATATATCTTTATAATTAATATTATTATCAATTAATATTAATTGGAAAAAAAAGTTATTTAAATTAGCTTAACTACAAAGAAACTATCTCGTATATATTAGAAAAATTATAATATAAGATACTAAGTCATGTAAATGACAATGTAATTTTAAATATAAATAATAGTATATTTCTTCAGAAAAAGTATCTAAAAACTAAAACAATTTTTGTTATTATTATATATTTTAAAAATAATTTTCTTGATGAGTACCGTGTACTACAGGGTATTGTACTAGTGTTAAATACTACGAAGTCTTAAACCTTATAGGATAAGGATTACATGATATATATTTTATATAGTCACGGATATATTTACTTAAGATGATGTGCTTATAAGGGTTCCATAGAAACTTTCCATAACATGGATATTGACTAGAGCACGAGATATACACAAGCTTATGGGATCTTGGACGCATAATTGCAAAGATTGCAAGGATATCTACTATGTTGAAGATTCAATCAAAAACATAAGGCCTTTACTTGATCCAGGATGTTGTTTCATAGCTTTCAAACTAAGCAGATCCGACGCAACTGACATCCCGCACATAAGGAAAAATGTGTTCTTACGCCAATTTTGGAAAGTCCTTGTATCTAAAATTTCGTAATCTTGAAGAGTCATACTGAAAAAAACACATTACTTGAGAAAATTTCGAAGATTTGGAGTATCGAAAAGTATTTTGAGTGAAGAATTCTTTCATTATTTGGTCACGAACAATAACCTAGCTATATTATCAGCCTAGCTATTAGAATCTTTCTATATTATCAGGGAGGAGAATGTATACTCTGAATGTTCTAGTTTTGTTTTTATTTTCATAGATTGTGAATCTAAGCATACAAATGCTCGCGTTTTTACGCTTCTGTAAGGTTGGAGCCTAATTTTTTTTGTAATTGCTAAACACTTGGGATAAGTGTTGTCTTGCCCAGGAGGGATCCATGTGGGGCTTCTAGGTCCACAAGTTTGGCCAAAAAAGTAGATAGTGGAATGGAGTATAGTGTTGGTAAGTTTAGAAGAGAGTTCTTTATGTGTAAATCAAAACTATACACCGTGTGACCAAGTGGTCAGTAAGAGTTTTGAGGGTAGTGGGACGCTCAGTGAAGAAAATTTTGTTTATTCGTGCTTTCGCTATATCAGTGTAGTTAAATAGCGGTCATAGCGGTACGGCGTGGCGGATTTTAGCCTGGCCGCTACGATATGGCCGCCTTGTGGCTGGCTTTCAATGGCGGCACCATTGCGGCCGCCATGCATGGCGGTGTGGCGTGAAATGGTTGTTTCTGCCAAGATTCTGACCTAAAACGAAAGGAAACGCAATTGGGCAGGCCCAATTTTGCAAAAATCAGCCGAGATCTGCATCTAGATCTGCTAAAAGTAAAACTATGAGAGCCCCAACCCTAATATCCGGCGACCTACCCTCCGGCAACCCAATATCCGGCGACCTCCCTTTTTCTATTTTTTTCTCTTTTTTTTTTTCTTTTTCCCTGTTTCTGTTTGTTTTTCCCCTACCTTTCCTTGCCCCTTTTCTTTATTGTCCCTCATTTGATTTCCAGATTCCTATTCAACTTCTCCAATTTTGACTGTCGTTATATTTATTAATTTTTATTTATTTGTTTCAATATTCCTTTTCAGCTTTTCCTTTACTTTTCTAATCTTTACTTTTCGGTTTTCTACTTATTGGTTTTAGTTTTCAGCTCTTCTATTAAAAAAATTCTTCTTAGCTGTCATCTATTTTTAAGCTTTCTTATGTAACTAATGTTATTTTTATGTGTTAATTGACATGATTTAAGCTTAATTATGGTGTTATATATTAGAAGGTATAAAAATATATAATATTATATTTTTTGAGTCCGTCATGCCTTCCGCCATGCCATCCGCCATATATATATGGCGGTTTTATGGCTTTCCGCCATGGTCCGCCATCCGCCATTAATAGCATTGCGCTATATATTTTGTGTTGTTGCACAAAATTTATTACTGCAACATTCCGTTCCCCCACATTTCACCATTCAAGTAATAAGAAAGACACTAAAAGTGCATGATAGGCAAGCTTTGTGTGTGTGTGTGTGTGTGAGAGAGACAGAGAGAGAGAGAGATCGTACCTTATAGTCATACAGATCACTAGCACCCGAGACACTGCTTAACTTCCCACTATGCATGCGGTCACATTCAGAGTCCGTATCATGATCGGCTTCGTTTTGAGCATCGTGATAACCATTGACTGTTACGTCAGGATTTTCATCATCGCTCGAATCTTCACTTGCACTGTTATCAGTTTGAGAATCTACAGACATGGAGCACCTGTGCAGAATATCATCCTGAAATAATACAATAATTCAATGTGGTCGATTTCCAAGTGAATTTTAAGTCGGAACCATCGATAATCCAGAAAATTAAAGAGAGTCAATTAAGATCTTCACAATCAAATGTATGTTGGACCAAAGCTTTTTTTTACCAAAAAAAAAAAAGAAAAAAAAACTATCACGAGACATTCAGTTCTACAAACGTACATTATACTCTTTGTCTTTGGGCAAACAAAACCTCAAGTAACATCATTCAACTAAGGCTGCAAAATTCTAGAACATCAAAAGTTTGAATAACGATAACGATAAACAAATTCAGCCGACTGCCAACTATTTTCTATATAACTCCTATAAACAAATTCATCCATGACTGCCACCCATTTTCTATCTAACTCCTACAAACTTACTTTTCAAACAAATGTTGTGATAACAGCTGAGTAGGACATGTATGATGGTACGCAAACTTGGCCAAGACAAGGAATTTAACAAAAACAGGTATATGAAAGTATTGCCATTGCATGGTAATACCGTAACCTTCCAAATTTTCAGGTACCAAGAATTTAGAAAATAGTAATAATTATAATATAATAAAATGTTAAAAATACAATAACATTCCAACTTACGTCAAAAATATTGTCATACTCTTCAAGAAGAGTTGTAACGATTGCCTGGGCACTATTAGCAGCATTTGCAGCAGCAAGAAGCTGAGACGAATGATCTCCATTGATGTCAAGGTCATCCTCTAATTCACATTCGCCAGCTAAAAGTGGACGCAACAGCAATGGAGCCATGCAAGCAGCAACGGCCGACGGGGTCATACGATTCTCAGATGAATGAGAAGAAATCGTATGCATCGTTTTAAGAACTCTAGATACATAAGAACATGGAAAAAAATAAAAAATAAATACACGAGAATTGCAAATTACAATATGTTTAGGGATGAACCAAAAAGAAACCGGAAAATCTCAATACAGCATTCTTATTTTATCATAATAATGAAATAAGTTTTAAGACAACAGACAATAATTTCCATAATTTTCAAACAGTCATCGCATCCACAAAGCTGATTCGCTTCCAAATTTTAGAAATAAAAAAGAATTTGCGTGATGGTAAACATTGCGTTCTGGAATTAATATTTTCAATTGAAATTACTACATATGATTCATATCTTGTCATATACATAAGATAATACCTCTGCAGGAGGCGTCTATTTGGTTCTGGAAATGCTTCATGTATGGCCGAGCGCATTGCGTTCACCTGGGCTTCCTTTCGGTCGATTTCTACTCAAATATAGTCACAAAAGAACAAGTAATCGAACACCATCATAAAGGACAAAATAACATATTGGAAATCGAACAATAATGTGGGTAATAGTTATAGCAGGAACTTACTGAAGGCTTCCAACAAGGCAGTGCAACATGATGCAGGGACAGGCGAGGAAGGTAGCTCCCGAAGAATATGCTGAAAGGGAATGAACTTCAATCATCAGATTTAAGTTCTTTCATGAAATGAAAAATGCAGAACAGAAAAAATAAATATTCAGATGACAAACATACCTTAATGCAATCACCAATAACATGAGCATCCTCAGCAGAGTCAAATTCAGTCTTGCCTTTGATCAAATAACGTTCAAATTGGTCACTCATGCGGTAAATTTTACATTTTCAATTAGGTAGAATAGAAGAAATATAAAATTCAGCACCAGGTAAGAGTCTTAGAAAAATATTAACTCAAAATTCAAAGATTGAATGGCCTTGATAGTCAAAACCAGGGCTAGGAGTTCATTGCCTTAAATGAGGTAGGCAATATTGTAGTGGAAAGTTGCTATTAATTATTAAGCACAATGATATATTTGTTTGGATTTCCTAAAACAAGTGAAATGAAATCTATAATCTGCATGCGAAAGAATATCATCAGATATATAATTTGTTATAAACTAAGTCTAAACTCTAAACGACTAAACTGGCATCTCAGATCTGATCAACTCGATTAAAAGAAATGTAAAGGATTCATGCAGCATCTAAAAAGTAATGTCCTTAAGCACAACCACAATATTAAAGCAACAAACCTTGCTCATATTCTTGAACCCTTCGTTCCACTTCTTCAACGTCTGCAGACTGCCTCAAAATTCCTTCTACTTTAATTCCTGTTAATCATATCAACTACAGTCAGAACATACAGAAAAGAGGGATTCGTTGTCTAAAATCTTTAAAGATATATAACAACTGTCATTTCTTCGAATTCCAACTTAATTAATTGTAGTGTGCATGTGTTTCTTAGACAAACGTACTTTAAGAACACTGAAAAACCAAAGGTAAAAAAAAAAGTCAAGAGTTACAAATTAAATGAGAGACGGAGTTGCATAAATTATATTTAAAGGTACATCTAAATTAAGCACAAAAAATGAACAAAATGAAATCAACCAAAGAAAGCTCTTGGTTTATTAAGAATGGAAATAAAACAAAGCTAGATAGGGTCAACTTATTTTATACAAACTAGATTGTAGCCACAAAAAAGAAACAAAAAATTACAGACCAGCCTAGTAGAAATAAATGCAAGATGTATAACAAATTGTCTAAAATCCTTCTACTTTAATTCCTGTTAATCATATCAACTACAGTCAGAACATACAGAAAAGAGGGATTTGTTGTCTAAAATCTTTAAAGATGTATAACAAATTGTCATTTGTTTGAATTCCAACCTAATTAATTGTAGTGTGCATGTGTTTCTCAGACAAACGTACTTTAAGAACACTGAAAAACAAAAGGTCAAAAAAAAAGTCAAGAGTTACAAATTGAATGAGACACAGAGTTCCATAAATTATATTAAAAGGTACATCTAAAATTAAGCACAAAAAATGAACAAAATGAAATCAACCAAAGAAAGCTCTTGGTTTATTAAGAATGGAAATAAAACAAAGCTAGATAGGGTCAACTTATTTTATACAAACTAGATTGTAGCCACAAAAGAGAAACACAAAAAATTATAGATCAGCCTAGTAGAAATAAATGCAAGATGAAGGTCAGTTATTATAAAAAAACATGGCCTCATTAATACTATTTCAAAGGGCTCATTCCCGGCAAATCCAAATTGAGCCACAAGAAAAGAGAATGAACGAAAAAAAAAAAAAAAAAAAAGTACCATATTTCTCGAGAAACCGAAGTGCTTTCTCTAGGAAGGACGGGCCACCATCAATATCTTCCAATGCAAGCAAAATTGGGCGTCCTACAACCAAAGACTTCACCGGGCGTCTCTCTCTCCCTAAACGGAGGGATATTCCATCAAAATTTTGCAACTAGAAATGTTGCAGAGAGACAGTATTTCAAGAACATCAAAAGAATAATGGTATGTGCTAACATTGATGGAAAGACCCCTCAATAGAATCATTAGCATCATTTCTAAATATCCCATTGTGTCCCATAACAAGAGCAGCGTTGGGCGCTTGTGCCAGAGCATTCTCAAGGGCAGTTTTCCACTCAAACAGGTCCTCAGAAGTTTCAGCCTGTAGGAGTGCATCAGATTACTTCCAGGCTAAATATAAATAATCATATAAAACCTAGAACTACTCATAAAACAACCCTGATGTATCTTCTTTTTTTCTTTTTATTTTTTTGCTTTTAGCTCACTACACAAGAAACCAATTATCATACTCCATTGTTATTTTCGTGTCACAACAGAGTAACAGATGTCAAGTGAGTATTTGCAAGTCTAAAGATAACTGATACATAGAATTAAGCAAAATCTCAGAGTAAATTACCCTCATTATCCCAATGTCCTAAAAGAACACTTGACTATGTAAAACATTGCGTAAATAACATCTGATCTATTATGAACCTTAAGAGTAAATGCCCGTCCATCACGTCCATCAGGGAATAGAACTGTCAACAGTTTCTTGTCTTCTCTAACAACAACACTGCACATAGGAAGGCATCAAGACATAGCAAGGAAAAACATTGACCCAGATGAAGAGTAAAAATAGGTAATGTACATACATACCTCCCAGAATTATTTAAATCAATTCCACCCAAAGTCAAATTTACTTCACCACCACGCTGTGGAAGTGCACTCTACATTAAAGAAAAAAGAACAAAGTTAAAAATCCAAGTAATCATAAGTAACAGAAATTGCAACCTTTGTCAACATTATTACATACTACATAGTACATTAATTTAGTGAACAAAATGGAGATGAAAGTTGGGACTAACAGGATCATTCTTGAAGAAAACCAAGGAAGTGCGTGTAAGGATGAACCACCTCTTCTTCCAAGACTTCCATCCCAAGCCTGCGCACAGAAAATGAATAAAACAGAAATACCAACAATATGAGGAACACGTAAACTAATTTTGTTAATAACAGGGCAGGCCGAGGACCATAATTCTGCTTGTAATCAGTGTTCCATAATGCACAGTTACATGCCTAGAATTAAATCGCCCACTTTTGCATCAATTTATTTAAACATATTTGCATACTCGCACCATTGTGCAGATCAATGATGCCTACAAGTTATTACATACATGTCGAATATTACAAACCTATAATCATGTTTCTGCGGGAGCAGTTGATCTGATATGTCAAGTTTAACCAATGTTTTCTTACGCATGCCCAACTCAATAGATATCAATACTGTCCCCTAGACTCAATGTCAAGCCACAGGCATAAAACAGGAGAAAAATTTAAATTTCAAATGTTGAATTTCAATGGCCTGACCAACACAGCAAAATATAGGGGGACAGATGAAATATTGGCACATTGAGGAAAATTTTAGAGTCCATACACCACAGTGCCTAAGGGCTAAGATCATCTACCAGTAAGAAAGCACTAACCTTTAGATGATATGAGCAGATGTCCACTCTTGAATATCTACAAATAATCCAAAAAGTAAAAATCCTTTAGAGCAGCAGTGAGATGAAAAAACATAATTTTCCACAATAGAAACAGATAACTGAATCCGCCAACCAACTGAGAAGAAGAGAAGGGGCAAAACCCAATTTAGGTCAGTTTCAAGCTTTCAACTTTACCTCGACAATTACTTGACTAACTTTGACTAACACAACTCACACCATTTTCGTCCTTATCCTCTCCTCTCTCCAGACACGCACGTTAAAATTGGAAACTACAGTACAAATTAATCTTAAGCATTACCGTATTCGAGTTCCCAATACGAGGGCGTTCGAACGAGGCCGTAGGCGCCGACATTTCGGCTTTTTATTCCTTCACTTGTCAGATTCGAGTAAACATCTCAACTGCTTCCCGGGTCGACCCGGATCGAACTCGGGCAGTGAAGAATCAGACAAGATCTGCAGGAGGGAGATGGAAGAAGACCAAGAGCTTGTGGTTTTCCTTCTCGCTCTTTTTCTTCTTTTTCAAACTTTTCATGAAATAAAAAAAGGAACAAGAGAAATGGATTAGATGCCAGCAATAGCAGCAACCACAGCGCCCTTTTCCACAAGAAAAAAAAATCAAAAAACAAAATCAAAAAACAAAAAGGGTTTTGGTTTCGTTTGGTTGTGAGGTGGATTAGGTGCTGGTCGTAAATGTAATTAACATCGGTTGTGGGCACAACAGTTGCATTGTTTTTATTTATTTTTAGTCATTTTGCTGCCTTTTTTTCTTAATTTTTGTTTTCAATCCTGTGGCAGTGGCACGTGACTGGCCGAATCGGTTGTCTGAAATGTATGTTTTTTTACAAGAAAGAGGCAAGTGAGTTTAATTGCTATGCAGGGGTGATTGTTTATGCATTGTACAGTTAAAAAATTAATTTAAACTTAAATTTAACACAACTTTAACTCAACTTTATTATTTCTAATATTATTAATATAATAAAATAATATCAACCAATCATTTTTACACATCACATCAACTTGAATTCACTATTCATTCACTCACATAATTTTAACTAACTATCACTTCCAATCATTTTCTCTTACTTTTACATCAAATCAACTTTAATTATTTTATTTTAAATACTATTTTGAATATCCACTAACAACTAACCATATCACTTTTTTTTCAAACTTAACTATAGTTAAAAAAAAACTAGATTTTTACTAGTTGAATTCATATCCAATCACCACTAAATTTTATTACGGTTGTTTGTCAATTATCACACGTATCCACTGTTAAATTTAAAATAGTTCGCTGACTTTCTAGCTGGCAGAAGCTCGACTTGCTCGGGAAGATAGGACGTTAGGGTTTAATTGTTTATGAAATAATTTGTTCAAAATTAGTTATTTTGATTAATTATATTTATTTTTGAAAGATGTGATGGTTAGTTGTTATTAAAATTTTAAGTATGTATTAAAATAATATTTAATATAAAATGATTAGAATTGATTTGATGTAAAAATATAAGATATAGGTACTTAAAATTATATGAGTGGATTAATAGTGAATTAAAGTTGATGTGATGTGTAACAATGATTGTTTTGTATTATTTAATTATATGAATGATATTAAAGATAGTGAAGGTGGGTTATATTTTGAGTATGAAATAAAGGTGAGAAATAATTCATAAACAATCAAGCCCTTAATTATTGAGCTACATTTGTTAATTAACCTGGTAAAATCTATGTATGCATCCCTCTACATCTTAATAAACGGGGAGTTGAGGGGACTAGTTAGGTGACAAGTAGTCAACCCTTGTGGGACAGACCCACATGGAGCTGTCCCATTGGTTGTTGGCTCCATAACGGAACCAACAGTTGTCTCCTTAGCATTATTGACTCTGCTAAAACTAATAGAGAATGCATAGAGTAAAGAAGAGAAATATGTGTATTTTCCATTTTGTAATAGTAAGATTACATCTAATATATAGAGGTTGCAAGAGATCAAAAACAAATCAAAATCAAATTAAATATCTAATTACCAAAATAACTACTACCAAATCAAGATTATATCTTACCAAAATAACTAAAGTCACCCCCTTCAAGTTGGTGCATGAAGATATCGAATGCCCAACTTGCTTAGAAATTCCGAGAAATCCTGGACACCCAATGCTTTGGCGAAGATGTCTAGCTGAGCTTTGGTAGAAACATAATCTGGAGCGATAAGTGGACCGAAAAATTAACGGAGTGAAGGACAGAGGACCAAAGGAACAGAGGACCGAAGGACTTGATCGATTGGATTTAATATCCAAAGGACCGAAGGATTGAAGGACAGAGGACAAATGACTTGGTCAATTGTATTTAATATCCAAAGGACCGAATGAATAAAGGACTAAAGAACAGAGAACAAAGGGCTTGATCAATTGTATTTAATCATCTAAGAACTCATCTAATGGAGGAGGAATTGAACCATCTAAGAACCAGATTTTTTTTTTCATGCCTGGTGTTGACATCCGAGTTCACCCCAAAGAGGGGCCGGACAACCGGTACCTCCCAAAAGCCGAACCGACCCCCAGAGCCGAACAGAAGTCCCGCTCGAGTTAAAGTGCCGATCTGAATTTCGGAATTAGTTGACCGCGAGATTCCCAGGGATCCACTAGCGAGCCCGGCATTTGTGTTGTCCGCCCTCCGGTGCCGACCTCGAATAGGTGACGGGCTGGTTAGAGGCCCCGGAGGCCCGTAAGAGCAAGAAGGGTTCAGGAGCCGATCTTAGGTTCCAGGGCGGCTGTTCTAGGCAGGCGCAGGGCCCGCAGTATAATAAGGCCACTTGGAGAGTAATCATTGACGATTAGACGGGGTGTCACAATCTGCAGATCCACATCCCCTGGACAAGACATAAAGTCTGCCAGCATTAAATGACCCCCATGTTTACATTAAATGTCTGTCAGGCAATGATGAGGAAAACCTTCTATCGCAATAAATTCTGTCAGGGAGGCGCCGAACTGCCCTGCCAGAGTACTGTACGACAAGACTGGTGAACAGTACCTGCACAGTGCCACATTTAGGGCAACTATAAATAGCAGCCACCCTCATTTATTTCGGGTGGTTGAATCCCAACTGTCTAAACTCTCTATATTTTCTCTCTCTAGGCTCGTGTAAGAACTCTGTAAGAATTTGTAAGTATATCACAAGTGTCGACCTCGTACGAGAGGCCGACCTCGTGATCCTTTAATAAAATCCTAATTAAACTGTATTCCCTCATCTTTTCACATTACTTCTTTACCATTTATCTTTTTCAACCGTTGACCGGAAACGTCCTTCAACACCTGGAGAGCAGTCCGGAGAGAAGAAGACATGACTGAAGAAAATAAAAATATATTAATCAGAACAGCGGTGGTGAAAAATCATGGTCTTGATACTGTGCTAAAACTAAGAGAATGCATAGAGTGGAGAAGAGAAATATGTGTATTTTCCATTTGCAATAATGAGATTACATTCAATATATAGAGGTTGCAAGAGATAAAAAACAAATCAAGATATCAAATATCTAATTACCAAAACAACTACTGCCAAATCAAGATCATGTCAAACCAAAGATATCTTACCAAAATAACTAAAGCCTACCTTAACAAGATCCCTTAAAAATTGGTGATTTGCTTGACAAACGTGGCTTACCAAAATTTAAAATCCTCATTTCTTTTTCTGAAAGGTTCCTGTTCGCTGAGAAGCCACGATCCAGTAAAAATATCTTCCACAATTCTACAAAAATTTGACCAACGTAAAAAACAAAGTTCATCTAAAAAATTCTGAAAAATTTTGTGTTACAGCAAAATATGAAAATATTTAAAATATTTGTTTTATTATTGGTATATTGTTGGTTTATATATACCATTTCAAGTTTATTGTCTAGTTTATAAATTACAAAATTTTGTATTGGTATATTGCTGGTTTATATATACCATTTTGAGATTTATGTCAGGTTTATAAATTGACCACCGCCACCGCCACCAACCGCCATGACCAAATTCACCGCCGCCGCCACCATCGACCACTCATCCAACGCAACCACCCACGCAGCATCCCGCTCCAAACTCTCCGAGTTGGATCCACCACGAATGACGTTGCAACCTCCATTACTCATTCCTCAACCCAATCAATCTGCAAAAATAAACCTAAACCCTAAAAAATGCCCACAGATCAACCTAAGAAACCCTAAATAACCATTTGTGGTTCACATACCTTATCACTCTCTGTGCACGAACTTCACACAGGCGGCCGTCGACCCAACTTGTACGAACTGCCCTTCTTATGTCTTCTGAATCTCGATCTTTGAAGCTTTTAATCTGATTCTTACCTTTACTTTGCAGGCATTAACAAAAAGAGAGACAAACAGAGATCGAAGATGAGCAAAATCAGTTAATTCTGTATTATATGGCCGACCGTATGTTTGTAAATAAATAATTAGTTTCGTTAATTAACAAATAAAATAAAATGGACTCGTGCCACGGGTAATTTTCTTTTTTTTTTTCTTTTGGCGTGCGTACATTTTTCAATCAGCTGTTTTAATTTTTTACTCTCTTCAGATATTTTATTTTTCAAGGGACCTATCCACCACATACTTATATCTTCCTTCCGAAACTCCAGTAATTCCACTGAGTTCAATTCTTCCTCTATCCATCCCTCACACACAGACACACACTACATCACCATAGCCGTCTCTCATCCTTTCAACCACCTCGTGTTGTTTCCCACCCGTCTGAGGTCTTCGGCTCATCGGCCAAGAAAGGCGAAGGTTGGGAAAGTTGGAGAGAAGCCTTTTACGGTTGCCACGTCACACAATCTCATCCTTTTCCAGGCCAAGCTCCGATAAATCCGTCGCCGCCGAGGATGTCCTATGACACGGATGATTAGACACAAGCGAACAAAAAGCGCAAATTAATCATAATTAAAATTGAAGGGTTTTTTTTATCATAACAACAACTCAAAGAGAGCAACCAACATTCGGACACAAAGCACTAACCGATCCATTTCTAAATTTGAATCACATTTAATTTCCCTATTGATGGTGATTTTGAGTCGTGTTTTTATCGCTTAGCTACGGGTGTTGAGACGATTGTGTATTTCCTGATAATTTATCGGCTAATTGGGGCTAATGTATTAAGAACTTTGCGGACATTTTGGGTTTGTGTTTTTTTTTTAGTCCTTTTTTTTAATAGTTTTGTTGGATTGAGTGGATAAATGGCTTTGCAGAAATAGAATGAAGGGTGTAGACAAGTAACAGGTAGTGAAACATGGAGAATTAATGGGTCGGAATTCAGATACATTTTGGGACTCAAATAGTTTCATCAAATTTTATATTTCTCTCACAGGGCAGTAAGAGCACGCTGAAAGAAGTTCCCTACCTGGGAGTCACAAAGCAACCACACCACAAACAATCTACAATTGATTGAACAAATTCTATCTAACAACAAGTGATGGTCATATTATTATTTATGCAGTTATTTATGCTTCCGCAGTGAACAATTTTTATTATTCCGAACATGTTATTAGTATTTATGGACATGTTTGGATGATCAGTTTCAGTACTTCAATTCATTTTATAGACTAGTACTCGCGCTCTGCTATGTCTTAATGAATTGACCAAGTAGTAAGTTTCGGGAGCCATATGCCCCGAGAACTTAAAGAGAAGTAAAGTTTAGTAAGCAGCAGTATTGTTTAGTAAGTATTCTCATTGCAGTTTTAAAAGATAAATTGTTTTCGAAAAGTTCAAATTTATTTCAAAACTCGAACGTTTTCAAAGTATAAGTAGAGGGTTCTTACATTGCGGCGCGACACTCTGAGAAGCTCCCGGTCTCAGTCCTAGTGATGGCCTCGCGATCCACCTTGCGACGCGAGGTCTCTACCCATCGCGGCGCAACACCCTGACAAGACGCCATTTGTTGTTCTTTGATTCGTGCATGTCGAGCCCAGTTGTAAATTCTTCAAAAGATGACTCTCACGTGCAACAATAGATTAGTACTTTTGCAAACATACTTACATTTTTTTAAAAAAAAATGGACCGTGTCTTTTGCTTTGTTTTATTTAATTAAAATGATATATTTTCCAATTTTTATTTAATTTAAATAATATTTAAGTTTCATTTCTAACTTAAATGATATAATTTCTAGTTATCATTTAATGTAAATAATATTTAAAATTGTTGCCAATATTTTTTTATGTAATGACGGTAAAATCTTTTGGAAAAAATAAAGTTGTACATTTAGCAATTCTACCAGTTAAATTTTGTACTTAAATTGAATTATTAACCCCACATAAAGGGCCGACAGAAAAAAAAACGGTCTGCCGACAAAAAAAAACCCCCAAATCGCTCGCCTTCAACCTAGCTTCGATTCGCTGGTTCGCCTCTCTCAGCGGGCCGTCCGGGCTTGTCCGTGGACGGGACTCCGCCGCACCTCCATGGATCTGGTCGTGGTCCCCTCCTCCTCCGTCTCAAGTCGTGGAAAGCTGGTCGGGTGTTCGGAAGTTTCTCATCTTGGTGAATCCCACCGGCGATCTGGGGCGGTGGGGCTTGGTGGAGTGCGGCGCCAGTGGGTGGAGGTGGCTTGGTTTGCTTGTGTCGCTACTGTGGAGGGACGGCTCCCATTGTCGATTTCCACAGATGGGCTCGATCTGGATCTCCGTTTCCCGTCGGGGTTGTCTAGTAACCTTCGGTTATTGGTTCATCGGCGAGGTAGGGGAGACAGCTTGGGTTTGTGTTGGGGTCTCGGTGGGGTGCTTGTTGCGCGTTCGGGTGGGGTCGGAGCAGTCGGGCTCTGCAGCCACTTCTTCCATTTCTCCCTTTTTCTCCGATGCTGAGTCATTGGGAGGCCCGTCGTTTCTGATTTTGGCTAGTGGTGTTAGTCAGGTCCGAATCAATGTTGGAATTGACTAGTGGTGTTAGCCGGTTGAGGGGATTGTGGCAGTTTACAGTTGGAGTGCAGGTCGGTTCCTCTGGTTTGGTTTCAGGGCTTGGGTCTTCATCTTGCTAGGCTTTAGGCAGTGGCGGGCGTGGTTCCTTGGCTTTGCATCTCTCCTAGGGGGTCGGTCTATGTCCGCGGTTCACTTCGGATGTGTGTGGCTGAGGGAGGGCTGTAGTTCTTTAGTTTTAGTTGTTTTTGTTTGTTCTAGGATTGTTTTTAGTTTGTTGGTATTGTGTTGTTCAGTCTTGTGTTTTTATGTTTGCCCCTGTGAGCCCGAGTGTCAACTTATTATCCTGTTGGGATCAGATACTCGGGTATTATCCTGTTGGGATCCTTTTTAGTTTTGTTTGTCTAGTTGGTTTAGTGTTTTTGTGTATTTTCCCGAGTATTACCCTGTTGGGGTTGGCTGTAGGCGATCTCCGAATCTGCCTCCCAATTTTTCAATCTTTGGTTGTACTATTCAGCCTTTGACTTCTTTCTTTTCGCACTTTGTGCAATTTTATTAATATAATACCTCTATCGTTTCGAGAAAAAAAAAAAAATTCCAACATAATTTTTATGTTTCTATATAAAAATTCTTCAATTGAGAGACTTATTAAAAAAATGATTAAATCATGTTCATATAACCATGGTGTCTAATATTTAATTTATAAAATTAATTTTAACACTAATATGATATTTATTTTTATAATATTATTTGTAATATTTATTTTCCGCATTATAACAATAATAAAATTATTCTTAATGCTGCTATGCATAGTAGTAAGTCTATTAACTTCAATATATTACATCAATTACATATCCTTTTGTGGCAAGTCTGTCTAGCAAATGTGTAAAAAAAAAAATCCACTAGTCCCCAGATTATCAGAATAAACACATACAGAAAATAAAAGACAAATCCTATAATGTCTCCCAACCCAAATAACCTCACCACAAAATCTCCATGCACAATTCTCTTTCCCTCTCAAACACCATTCTTCACCCAAGAAGAAAAAAAAAAAACTACTTCAGGCGTCACTTCACGGGGTCATCCATAGGGATTTGAAGCCCGAGGATTTTCTATTGCTCGGCAAGGACGAGGCCTCCCCACTCAAGTCCACTGATTTCGGCCTCTCTATCTTCTACAAACAAGGTTGGGTTTTTGGATTTTTTTTTTAATTTACACAAAAACCCTTCATTAATGATGTTCCATAGTAGAAAGAAGTATATTGTTCAGATGATGTCGGGGCATTACAAACTCTCATTATATTGTTATAATGAAAATAAGGATGCAAGCGATTGATCTGTCATTGGACTTCCAGAACTGTCTATTAAGCGGCAAAAAATTGTGTTCTCTAATAGGTTTTCAGAAAAATGAATTACCTTCGTTCCCAAGGATAGAAAACAATTCCAGCGTGTTTGTAATTTTTAAATAGGCCGAACCAAGAGGCTGAATTCATTTTATGTCGTGACATGACTGTGTTTGCTTGTGCACATGTCTGCACGAGAACATTCCAAGGAAACATTCCAAGGACATAGTGGGAAGCACATACTACATTGCTCCAGAAGTATTGAAGAGAAACTATGGACCAGAGGTCAGTATATGGAGTGTTGGTGTCATGCTCTGTATTCATCTATGTGGTGTTCCTCCTTCCTGAGCGGATATTCTTTTCATTTTCACATTTGTGTGTAAAATTTCCTTGGCCCTGGGGCAAAAATGTACTCATCAGTATCTAATACGCGATCAGAATTCAATGATATATTAAGGGGACACGTTGACTTCTCTTCCGATCCATGGCCTTAAATTTCGATATCTCATGAGGAAGATGCTCAACAAGAACCCCATGCAGAGGCTCACAGCTGTTCAAGTTCCAAGTATGCAATAATAATCTTCGGCAACACACATAAATTCATTACATAAATTATGTAAAATCTGATATTTGCTATTTGCAGGTCACCCATGGATCAAGGAGGATGGACACGCACGCACCTGATACACCAATTGACAATTGCTGTCATCAACAGGCTCAAACAGTTCAGGGCTATGAATCAGTTCAAGAAAGAGCCAAACCTCAGATTTCGCTTTTTATAGTTCTCCCAATAGATGAATTTAAATAAAATCGTACTTTCATCGAATCTTGATTTGATTCGTCATAACAAGGTCATAGCCGGTTGCCTGTCAGAGGAATAAATCATGGGACTCAAAGAAAGCACGGACACCGACAAAAGTGGCACAATAACCCTTGAGGAGCTAAAGCAAGGGCTTGCCAAGCAAGGCACAAAGCCATCTGAAACAGAAGTCAAACTCATGGAAGCTGTAAGTTCTCAACAAAACAATATCCTATAAGAAGATTACATCTCAACCTGAAAAAATAATTCTGAATTTTTTTCACTCAATTGCACACAAAATCCGGCTGATGCCGATGGGAATGGGACTATAGACTATGAAGAATCCATCACGGCAACGATGCACATGAACAGAATGGACATGGAAGAGCATCTCTACACGGCATTCCAGTATTTTGACAAGGATAATAGCGGGTAATTAATCGTACAATTGAACATGATGCCACCACATTACACGGATATTCGGGAAAATAAAAATTTAATGTTTATTACGTTTGGTCAAACTACTCTAGTCACTTAATTATTAGTTTTCCCCTCTGGTCAGGTACATACGATAGAAGAGCTTGAGCAAGCGCTCAGAGACTTTGGCATGGGTGGTGACAAGGACATTAAAGAAATCATCTCTGAAGTTGATGCTAATAATGTAAGCAAAACAACTCATTCCGTTATTCTATAATGCATACTTATGTCAATACTCAATAAATAAGGATTAATTTATGCACCGATAACATGTCAAATACATGCAGGATGGCCGGATCAATTGTGATGAATTTGCAGCCATGATGAAAAAAGGTAACCCAGAAATAGTAGCAAACACCAAGTAAAGGAGGGAGGGTGTCTTCGCTTCCTAGTATGTGGAAAAGGTCANTGTACATTAGAATTTTCCAAAAGTGTGAAAACTACAGGAAAAATGTCTAATATTTGTTTTAGTAAATCAATAATAATTGTAAAGATAGATATATCTGCATTTTTATGTTGTGTGGTGACCCCATATGACATTTATATACATCAACCATTTTCGTCCTTAGAAAACAAATTGTTCGGTCTCTCTCTGTTCATCCTTAACTAAAATATAGATATCATGCAAAATTAAATGCACACACATACATGAATACAACAACATAGGACGAGAAAAATACGTAGGCCAATTATTCTCCTTGTGTAATTCACTTGTTCTTTATGAAGATAAACTGAAGCTCCTTTAAATGTTTTAAGAAACTAATCAAAAGTAGCACCCAACAACGATAGCAGCACATAACACTAAAATAATACTTTTTCATGTTCTGTAGTGTATATCACTCAAGCAGGCTTATCAGCCACATGTGATGATGTTAGTATCTAACACTAGAAAGACTAAATGACACTATGAAGAGCATATATTACATTATGCCCAAGTTAACCTAGTAACCTAGAATTTTGAATCAAAGATGACAACCTTATGATTAAATGCTTTAGTCACTCATTAACATAAATATGGTAGATAGTGACAAGCTTGAGAGTTTGCAATGATCAGAATTCAGCCAATAAAAAATAGCACACATCTCAAATTCCGTATTCAAACTTCCTTTAAACTCATCATCACAAAAGTACCATGAAAATAAAACAAATAAACGAAAAACAGAACAATTCAACATACATTAATTCCAAAAACCTTCCATTTACTTCAAAGATCAGAATTTTTACGGTCGCACATATAACCACTGGGAAGAAGACAACCACACCAATATTTTTCATGCTCATATACCCCTAACCGCCTCAGAGCACAACAAACTACTTATCTTTGGAAGCAGGCGTGCCAATCCCGTATTTTTCCTGGAGCTTCTGAATCTCCTCCTCCTTCTTTCTCTGGTCAAATTTCTTGCCCATCTTCGCCTGCTGGTAGTACAAGACGATCAGGTACCTATTGGCCACGTTGAAGCCCGAGAGGTGGTCGACGGCGGTCTTGGCGTCGTAGATATCCTCGTACACCACGAAGGCGGTGCCGCGCGTGTCCTTGTTGGTGCCGATGCGGATCTGACGTATGGCGCCGTACTTCCCGAATATGTCGTACATCTCCTCGCTCGTTATGTTGAACGGAAGGTTACGGACGTACAGTACACGGTTGACCTCCGGCGGGAGGCGGGTGTTGCTCTTGCGGAGGCTGAGTGCGGCCATTGACAGAGAATTGAGGTTTTCTGAGTTTTAGGGCTTTGATTTGTTAATTTGGCGATTTGGGGATTTATTTATTTATTTATTAATTTATTGTGAATGTGATTGCCGATGTGCACGAGTAAAAATGTCAAACGGGTTACTTGTGAAGACTTCAGCTAACAAATGGGCCGAAAAAAGTTTGGATTGGACTACGAGCATATGAAAGTGATACTTACTTCTTAACAAAAATCTATATTTATATCTATCTATATATAATAAGAATTAACATTTTTCAAAAATAGTAAGCAAAAAAACAGGGAATATTAATTGCATTCCATTTTTGGTATGTTTTTTTAATTTTTTTAATAAAAAATCAAGTAGTATTTAATGCTAGCACAAATCATGCGATTTGTTATATAGATACATATTTGAATTTCAAACTTCAAACAAAACATGTCTAAATGTATTTTGAATTTTTTAGGGAAAAAATTTAACAAACACGTTAAAGATGTCATACAATACATATATTTATATATATTATCTTAACATATAGGTTAATTTATATATATATAATAAGAATTACCATTTTTTAAAAATGGCAAGTCAAATTTTGGTCAAACATTAATTACATACTATTTATAGAAAGTTTTTTTCTGTTTTTTTTGTTTCACTTCAAAACAGCCAGCATTAAATGGTGGCCTAAAAATGTGGCGTTTGTTAAGAGAGATCACTGTCTACATAAAAAAAAACTATTTAACCATACAAGATTATATTAACACTCCAATGCTAATTATGGTGTGGCATAGTGTAGATAAATATATTTTATTATCACTCCAATGCACAATATTTTATGAAGAAAGTTGAATTGAAAATATATAGATTTTTATTTTTTTTGGTAGTTACTTTGAGATTTGAATTGCACTTCAATTAAATTATGTATATTTTACTTGTAGTTACATCACATCCATTTCATATGATTTAATATTAATAGCATTGAAGATTTTTTTTTTTTNTCTTATACTATGTAGCGTAAATAGAATTTCCTATTGCATAAGCTATAAGAATATAAGATTTAGTATGTTAGAAATATCAAAATATTTGAATACAATAAAATTGGGTGGTTAATTTTTTTAAAAAATATATCTTAATGCATATTATATGACAATAAATTTTAGAATAGTTTAATAGTTGAGTATTACGATGAATAAAAAGAGGAAAATTTTAATTTTGGTATGAAATGTCCCAATTTATATAGTATGAATTTCATTTAGTATTGATAGAAGGGTATTTGAAAATTTTAAAAATAAAATAAGTGATATGAATTTAATTTATGAGTATGAAAGTTGAATTTTAAGTTGATTTGTTATAAAATTAAGGCGATACAATTCTCAAATTTTAACATATTCTCATATAACTTGCCATAAGGTGATATGTATTCCTCTTGAAAATTAGAAAGATCTTTGAACAAATATCTGTTAATAAAATTTAAAATTTATAATTTAATTCTGGAAAAATAGTTAATAAATTTGAACAACAAGGTAATCGACAATAAATATAGGAAATTTCGAGATTAGTAAAATATAGATATATATAAAATATATAAGGGGATTTTTTGTGTAGTCCAAATTTGGATTCTAAATTTAAAAGTCAAATAAGTTAAAATTAACTTGGATGTAAATGACATAGTCAATTGTTTATAGTTTAATAAATTACTCAACTACTTAAATTTTTTGATTTGGATTGTTTATACAAAAATAAATTTATTTTAATAAGTGGAACAACTTAAGTTTTATAATTGTACTTACTATCACATCAATTTTTAAATATAAGATAAAATTTTACCAAAATAATTATTTTATTGAATAACATTGCAGTCAAATCAAATTTATGAATACACATTTTAAAATGACACTTATTTTGAAATAAATATAATGTAATTTATTATTAACTACATGCACCGTAGGGGTTTGTACTAATTTTAAATCAACATGTTTATATAATGTTGCACAATTTTACATGAGGAACAAGAATAAGTAAAATTGTTATTTTTCTTATATCAAGGAATAAATTTATATACAAAAAATAAATTTATTTATTAGTTTATGGCTAGCGCTAACAGACTCAGTTTTACGTTCCGACAAAAAAGTGACGCTAATGAAAATAAGTGGAAAATAGATGATTCAACTCTATTATTTTTTAGGGTTCAATGGACAAGCTCTATGGACTCTATGAAAATTAATTATTTAATATCTCTGTCCCGTGCATCGCACGGGCTACTCACTAGTTAGTTTCATATCTAAACAATATATATTTAAACAATATATAAACAAATATAGTAATTTATCGTACAATACAGACAAATATATAAACAATATATTTATATACAAATATAATAAACAAATATAATGAACAATACAAACAAATATACAAACAATATATAAACAAATATAAGAACTTGTCACGTGTATATTTTGTACAATACATATATTTGTATATATTATCTTAACATATAAGTTAATTAGTTTCATATCTAAACAATATATATTTTATGAACTTAAAGATTCATAACATTACTGACATCATGTATATTTATAATATATTGTCACGTACATTTTACTACAATTGGTAATTTTTTTAAAATTATTTGAATAACTGGAGGTTGATTTGTAATTTTAATTTCAAATTCATTCAAACATTTAAAGGAAAATATCATAAGAAGATTTTTTTGATACATTTCATTTTATCTCAACTTACATATAATCACGTTCCTACCTAACATTAATTTTGCTTATATCTTTTTAAATTAATTACATCACTAAATAATATTAATATACATTACATATTTCTCATTATCTAACAAATATATTACTTCTACAAGTGTTATAAATAATAATGACATTATATGATAATAGATTTTTTGATAGATTAATAATTGAGTATTATGATGAACCAAAATATGTAAAATTATTATTATTTTGTATTAAAAAATAAATATATATGTTAAAATATTATTTATAATAATATATTGGTTCATCATGCTATTACAATAAATTTTATAATAAAATAATATGAGTATTATACGAGGAACAGATTACGTAAAATTGTTATTTTTCTTATATCAAGGAATAAATATATATAATGAAATTAAATTTATATTATTATAAATATATGAGCGAGATAATATATTAACTAATTTACGGTCTAGCGCTACTACTACCAGGCTCAGGTTTAATGTTTCGACAAAAAAGATGACGTTGATAAAAAAGGTAAAAAAATAGATGATCAAACTCTATTACTTTTTTAGGCCTTAACTGACAAGCCCTATTGTCCACTCATTTAATATCTCCCGTGAATCACACGAGCTACTTAACAGACAAACTCTGTGGAAATGACTCATTTAATATTTATGTCCCGTGCATCGCACGGGCTACGTACTAGTTTAAATTTAAACATAGAAAATGTTTAATTTAGATAGATATATAAGTTTAATTAAATTACATTAATAAAACAGTATAGCTTAAAATTGTTTGAAATAATAATGACATATTGTAAATATTTTTGTTATACATAAAAATAATTCTATCGCATTCTTTTAAAAAAATAGTAACAATACAAAATTTAATATGACAAGGAATTTAAAATAAAGTAAGTAATTGAGTATCATAAAATGAATATAGTGAAACTAGTTTTTCTTATCTTATAATAAAAATAGATGTCTCTGCAACTCTAACTTGGTTTGCATTAAGCTTAAAATTATTTTCAAATATTTGTATTTTTCTTTTTAAATAACGAAATATAGGTGTTATTAAGAAATTTTGTTTAATGTGGTAGTGTTTTTATACATAATGCTAGAATTTAAAACGTCGGATTGGAAGCGACGAGCCACTTTCTGTTTCCTATCACATCTGTATTTCCCATTAAAAGTTTTTGCAACCATTGTGTCCTCATCCTGATTCTTAGAGGCATAAATCACCCAGGGACATTTTTGTTATTTGCACTTGGCTTGAACCTTAGTTTTCTCATTAATAGTGAAAACAACATCCCTACCTTGTTTCCTAGAATGTTGTCTCACAGCTTCTCTAAAGGTAGGTGTATCACTAGAGTTCATGCCCACATCAAATTTAGGGTCTTCTCCATGTAACTTAGGGTTAAAAATTGGATAACCTTCATGCATCTAAGTTTTTTTCTTCCCCTCACCCACAGAAAACTTAATATGGACGTTCAAACCATCCAACTCAACTTCAACATCTATACTATACCATCAAACAACACTTCATCATCTGATACATCATAATCACTTTCATCTATATAATAGGACAATTATGAGTCACTAACTGTTTCACCTGAATGATCATCAACATCACTTTCATCTGTTTCCCTATCATTAATAACATTCTGCAGGTATGTTTTACTTAGACCACTAGACTGATTCTCATTACTACCTACAAATGCATTTTCTTGACTGATTCTCTCCTCAGAACTTTCTAAATTCCCAACAAATGACAATGGTTCAACAACATTTGAAAGCTCAGACTGGTTACCACTGCAAACGAGGGACTCATGTTTAACAAACAAACTGACAACTCTATCATAATCCGCCCATTGCATCAAATTCATAGCATTTAAATCATTCTCAAGTAGTGACAAATCAGAATAATCATCCATTCGTCTTTTGCTATAGAATATTTTACCCACATTATCCAAGCCAATTTTTTTCACCATAGACATTATCTCAACCATTGAAATCAAATATTTCTCACAATTGTCAATGAAGTTAATAGAACCACCACAAGACACATTTTATTTACTAGAATGATTGATTGCAATCGTAAAACCTTCAACATTATCACCTATAAAATGAAAAAAAAAAAGAAAAAGAAAAAACACCTCAGAGAAAAAACAAGAAATTAAGCATGATTTTTTCATTTATTGAGAAAAAGGTATCAGACTCGAGAGGTAAAAAATAACCTAACACTTGCAATTGTCATTAGCTCTTGTTGACTGGCTCGATTTTGGCCGCAACTTCCAACCCATCGTTGTGCAAATCTAATTCGTACTCACAGTGTGCTAGATTTTGTATGTCGATTCAGAAAGTAGTGAAATGAATTTCGATTACGAGGCAAAGAAAAAAAACTCTGATTTCAATTTCAGAAGGGGAATCACTCGCTCAAACCCTAATTTTTTTTGGGAGAAATGAAACTGAAAAGAAAGGTATGGGAACCGTCAACCAGTAGAGGAGTATTTATATGAGGCTCAAAACCAGTTACAAACAGGTGAAACCGGACTTACACCTGGTATGGGGGGTAAATTGACAAACTCGTGTAGTTTAGATAGTGGTTCGCAAACAAAAAAATTTCATATGGTAATGCGTCAAAATCGTGATAGTTCAGATGAGAAAAAGTGTTTTTCCCTTAAGTGTACGTGAGACAATAAATTTGTGGTAATCAAAGAGAGATTTATAGGATATTGATTAATAACAAATTTATGAGAGGCAATAAATTTAGAGTAATAAAAGATAGATTTATAAGGTAAGATGAAATAAATATTTATGGTTGATTTCAAGCCCATTATGTTTCCAAAATTTTTATCCGGACCTAAATACAAAGCAAGATATTTTGACATGTATGATTACAAAGCGTGCGAGCCTGCCACTTAGGCTCAACACGTTTTGAATTAATATATAGGGAAAATATTGTCCATTTTTAATACGTGATTTCAATTTTTAGTAATTAATTTTATAAAATATGCTAAATAGGAAAAGATACACTCAATAAAATCGTTTCCATACAAACCGAGATTTTATAACATGATTTGATAAAACGGGATTTCATTTTTTAATTGGTAATTTCAACAAATTTGCTAGGTAAACTTAAATTATACTAAAAAAATTATTTTCATAAAAACCAAAAAAAAAGGTTGATGTTAAATAAATTGGAAACGTACACAACATAGGAATCTCATTTTTTACAACAAAGAACCAATTAAATGGCAAGAAGGATCCGAGAATCTCTTTTTTCACAATAAAGAACCAATAAAATGGCAGGATTAACTGCAACCGAGAATATGAGAATACATATAAAGTTTTTTTTTTATTCAAAAATATAAAAAAGAAATTAAGCTTACCTTTTTAAGTATGTTATTAATGGGAAGAGACTACAGTCTCGTTACGGAATCATTCCGTCGCGGTTTTTATCCGTCAGATATACACATATATTTGTGTAGATAACCAATCTACAGATAAAAACCCCTCACAGAATGGTTTCGTAACGAGACTGTAGTATTTCCCGTAATTGATGTTTTAAGCGGAAAACTCTTTCTAATTTAACCTTATTTTTATTTTATATAGATATATTTGATATTTTTTAATTAAGAAGAAAAAAAAAGTGAGAAGAATATATATGTGAAAGAGTTCTACATTAGTTCTTCTCTTTAATGTCACGTCATTATAACGAGCATAAGAACATTCAGGGNAAGGATTTATATAAGACTAAATATGTACATCAGTTCCGACTACATTGCCAATTACATTCCAGAAGGAAATAATGAAGGGTAACCAACGTTAAATAAAAAAGAGAAAGCGCAATCTCCCAGCATAGACAATGCTAAGTCCCCGGGAGTTGACATCAATCTCTAACCGCGACAACACTATGCCAACAAAATTAACCTACCACTGAACCCTGAAAGGGACCTAGCAGGTTAACAAAACCTACACCCAAAACAACTAGGAAACAAAATAAACTACTAACAAACCAAAAGAAAACTAACTCTAAATTAGTATACTGAATGACTGCTCCAATTTTCCAAGGCCAATCGCACCGTGTCTCTTTCCGATCTAAATGTTTGTTGAAACACCCAGAGATTTCGAGTTTTCCACATCCACCAGAGTAAGTAGCATGATAATTGGATTCTATCTTGTGTGACTGGTAGGACGGGGTTTGCACATAGAGAATGCCACCAAATTCGAAAGCAACTTGTATCTGCACTAAGTCCATCCCAAGAAACTGGTGATAATTTCCAGATCAACTGAGCTCGAGAGCAATGAAAGAAAAGGTGTTCTTGAGATTCATCTTCCTTGATAGGTCGAAAAATGTGCATGCTTTATATGTTTAATAGTGTATTTTTATACGCTTAATTTATTCGCACATTTATATTTTTCGACCTATTTATTACTTGGATTGATTCATATACATTGATATTTTTATATTTATTTTCAGTATTTTAGAGTATGTTTGTGGAGCCGAAGCATTGGACAAATATTCACGTGAGCTATTATCGGATGGGCCCGTACCAACCCAAGTTCATTGATAGAGTTAAAAAGGCCAAGGAATTGATGATTTGGGCCTAGAATGTGAACACATTTAGCCCAATTGAGATGATAAGTGAATTGGTCATAAAAGGAAAAGCAATACGCTGCCACACTCATTTGTTCGGAGTAGAATTTGAATTGTGGAGGATTTTTGGGCTGAGGAATTTAATTGGCTTGGCATTGCAAGTTATTTATTTTGCTGGGACACTCACGCAAGTGGGGAGATTTTTATTTTGCGCCAGCAATTAATTTACGAAGGGAGTGGAGGAGGCATTATTTTACGAGACTACACGAGAAAAGCCGTACAGAAGGAAAAAGAGAACAGAGGAAGACAGAGAGATGCACGCACGAGTTGAAGGATAGAAGGCTACACACGCGGAGGGAAGCCGCACTCGCACACGAGGGAGATTAAATTCTCTCTTTTATCTTTTTATTTATTTTTATTAGTATGTTAGGTTAATATTTTTATCCAGTTTGAGGGGATGTTTGAACCCTAACTTTGATTTGTCTATGGATTGAAGGATTTTTATTTATCGTTAGTTAATCGAGACGCCGTATTTATTTTTGTTGATGAGTTGATTCATTCAATCTACATTTAATGTTTATGAATTATGAGTATTTGATTTAGTTTGGCCAGCTACGTTGAATGTCCATAGTTTAATTGCTAGATTCAGGACATTAATCCGTAATTGTTATTGTCTCGTTTCGTTAGTAGTAAACTAGGGGTCGTGCATCTTTAGGGTAGCGTGAACATAAGTTAAATGGTCCGAGCTTTTGCGTCCATTGCTTAGACTGATCTATTTTCCTAGGAATTAATGCTGCTAGTGTATTAAATCTAGAGAGCTTATTCTAGGTTGTCCACTAATTAGGTTTAGTCGAAGAGCCTATTTCGATTAAATATTCGGTAAGGGAGAATTCGGTTAACAGAGCTTGTTGTTAACTAGGGTCGGTAATTCATTAGCAATTTAAAGAAAGCGTCGAAATTAATTAGCGGTAGATTGAGATTGGGTGATAACCGAACCAAAAACTGGATTTCTCTCATCTTATTTAATTTTTATTTTATTTTGTTATTTTTATTTTTTTATTTTTATAAAACCAATCCCCCCATCTCTTATTGCTTTCCTAGTTTTTTTCAATTAATACGAGATTGTCACAATTTAATTCCTACTCCTCGTGGGATCGACCCTTACTCGCCATTACTACTAGTTAGTAGAGGTTAGTTGAGAAAAACTTTTATAAATTTAAATTTGCCGCGTCGCGACGCGCGGTCATTCCTCTCCACAAAACTTACACCTCATGTCAAGCATAAGCCCTTTTCTGTGCAAGTTGATCAAGACTGGGAGAATGTTGTTGATTCCTTTCCAAATGAAGTGCTTTAATTTGCCTTGAATTTTCAAATTCCAAGTTCTTCTACGGATTTTTTTCAATTCTGACTGGTTGTAGCTTGAGCCAACAATTTTTTTCTATCAACTTTGAGTAAGTTGAAGCAACTGAGTACTTACCATTTTTATTCCAACTCCAAACTAAGAAGTCCCTGTGATGTGGATCTAATCCGGAAATTTCCAGAATTGCCTTCGCCTCCTATGGGAGAAACCATTCTTCAACCAAACTTTTGTTCCATCTCCATCCTGTGCTATCCATGAGTTCTGCAACCCAAATTAGAGATGTGTTCCTAGGATGTTTGCCCACAGGTTTAAGATTTGGAAGATTTGGGACCCACGGTGATAAGGTTCCGGGTAAGCAGCTCCGGTTCAGGATGGTTCTTGGCTCTAGGGTGCGTCTTCCTCTCCCCGGTTTCTAGTCTGGGATGGAGCTCGTGAATACCTGCAAAGTACGCCGGAGGTTTTCCGGCGTAAAACCCTCCAAAGCTTAAGTTAGTATTTGGGAGATGAGTAGGGAATAAGATGAACAGTAATGGTGTTTTGGTTGTTGAATAATAAATGTCACCTAACCTCAAAATTAATGTTTCAATACGTATATATAGGTGTAATCCCATGCGTGGATATCTTGAAATATTATTTACATACAAGTCCAGGGATCGAGCCTCAGAGCTCGATCATGCAAGGCTAGGGATCGAGCCTTATAGCTCGATCACATATTAGTCGGGGGTCGAGCCTATGAGATCGACCATGCTATAGGATCGATCCAGGCTTGTCTGTACGGGTCTCTTGTTCTATCTAAACCGGTTTGGTTGCGACGGTTTATGGTTCCCTATCAACTANT